ACTCTGGAGATACAAATAGTAAATACACACACACACACACCTATTATCCAAGTGGTTCCAGACAGTAAGGATTTAGAAAGGCCATTGACAGAAATTAAACACCTGTATACTGTTTGGATTGTAACGTTCCCAACGGTACCTGATGGTACCCTTGTAATGTACCAATGGTACACCACTGCTACCATGGGACTGTGCCCCAGTCACCCTTGTACTCCTTGATCACGGACCACCTGTACCATGATCACTACTGCCAAGTGTAATCCTTCAGACTGTAACAATTGTAACCATACAACAATAACTTCTGTACAATGTACGTGTTCCTGGTGCGCACAAGTCTATCCTGCCGTTTGTTCCTGGTGCGCACAAGTCTATCCTGCCGTTTGTTCCTGGTGCGCACAAGTCTATCCTGCCGTTTGTTCCTGGTGCGCACAAGTCTATCCTGCCGTTTGTTCCTGGTGCGCACAAGTCTATCCTGCCGTTTGTTCCTGGTGCGCACAAGTCTATCCTGCCGTTTGTTCCTCGCGCACAAGTGCCGTTTGTTCCGCGCACAAGTCTATCCTGCCGTTTGTTCCTGGTGCGCACAAGTCTATCCTGCCGTTTGTTCCTGGTGCGCACAAGTCTATCCTGCCGTTTGTTGCCGTTTGTTCCGCGCACAAGTCTATCCTGCCGTTTGTTCCTGGTGCGCACAAGTCTATCCTGCCGTTTGTTCCTGGTGCGCACAAGTCTATCCTGCCGTTTGTTCCTGGTGCGCACAATCCTGCCGTTTAAAATTTCGTATTTTTCCTTTTGTTAAACTACTTCATTACTTTGCATTCATGAATGTGGCCAGACGCTAAACCGTACATGATACAATGAAAGATACAATGTATGTACATTGTATCTTTCTAAGTTTAAGTAATACAAAGATTCTGCAATTATTTGTATGAAATGACTTCAATTAGTTGTGGTGTGTGGCCCCCATGACAACACAAATGTGGCGCTTACGGCCCTCGGGGGCCCTCACTGTGACATGCCTGGCTTAAAGGGGCACCAGTTATAGCGACCGTTACAGTGAGTGTTACCATAGTCGTACAATAACAGCAGTACGCGATGGTCAGTGATCGTTACAATGGTGACATTTTCAGTCACGTTACAGCAGTGACGGCTGCCAGTGTTACAAAATCACCGGGTCAAACAGTCTCTCCACATATGGTGGGTCACCACCTCCACCTACACTACCACCATTATCTCCACCACCTGAACCACTACCACCACCACCTGCACCACCATCACCACCACCACCACTACCACCACCTGCACCACCGACACCACCACCACCACCACCACCACCTGCACCACCACCACCACCACCACCACCACCACCACCACCTGCACCACCACCACTACCTGCACCACCACCACCACCACCTGCACCACCACCACCACCTGCACCACCACCACCACCTGCACCACCACCACCACCTGCACCACCACCACCACCTGCACCACCACCACCACCTGCACCACCACCACCACCTGCACCACCACCACCACCACCACCACCACCTGCACCACCACCACCACCTGCACCACCACCACCACCTGCACCACCACCACCACCACCACCACCACCTGCACCACCACCACCACCTGCACCACCACCACCACCTGCACCACCACCACCACCACCACCACCACCACCTGCACCACCACCACCACCACCACCACCTGCACCACCACCACCACCTGCACCACCACCACCACCTGCACCACCACCACCACCACCACCACCACCTGCACCACCACCACCACCACCACCACCACCACCTGCACCACCACCACCACCTGCACCACCACCACCACCTGCACCACCACCACCACCTGCACCACCACCACCACCTGCACCACCACCACCACCTGCACCACCACCACCACCTGCACCACCACCACCACCACCACCACCTGCACCACCGACACCACCGACACCACCACCACCACCTGCACCACCACCACCACCACCTGCACCATCACCACCACCTGCACCACCACCACCACCTGCACCACCACCACCACCTGCACCACCACCACCACCACCACCACCACCTGCACCACCGACACCACCACCACCACCACCACCACCACCACCTGCACCACCGACACCATCACCACCACCACCACCACCACCACCTGCACCACCACCGACACCACCACCACCACCACCACCACCACCTGCACCACCACCACCACCACCTGCACCACCACCACCACCACCACCACCACCACCACCACCACCTGCACCACCACCACCACCTGCACCACCACCACCACCACCACCACCACCACCACCACCACCACCACCACCTGCACCACCACCACCTGCACCACCACCACCACCTGCACCACCACCACCACTGTCATATTTATCATACACATGATACATCTTGTAGCAAACCTCCTCGTCTCCTTCGTGAAATTTTGGGACATTTTTGTTTTTCCTGAAAACAAATGATCCCGCGGTATTCATCAATCAAGCAGGTGAGGCCAGACTGACACACAGGTGAGGCCAGACTGACGGAGTGTCTATCAGGGAGGCTGAGGGCAGCATCCCGGGCCGCTCTCCCGCTAACCAATACTCCCCAAACAACAGTATTTGTACAGGTTGTAAACGGGGTGAATGAACGATGAGAACGGGGTGAATGAACAATGAGAACGGGGTGAATGAACGTTGAACACGGGTGAATGAACGTTGAGAACGGGGTGAATGAACGATGAGAACGGGGTGAATGAACGTTGAACACGGGTGAATGAACGTTGAACACGGGTGAATGAACGTTGAACACGGGTGAATGAACGATGAGAACGGGGTGAATGAACGATGAGAACGGGGTGAATGAACAATGAGAACGGGGTGAATGAACAATGAGAACGGGGTGAATGAACGTTGAACACGGGTGAATGAACGTTGAACACGGGTGAATGAACGTTGAACACGGGTGAATGAACGATGAGAACGGGGTGAATGAACGATGAACACGGGTGAATGAACGATGAGAACGGGGTGAATGAACGATGAACACGGGTGAATGAACGATGAACACGGGTGAATGAACGTTGAACGCGGGTGAATGAACGATGAACACGGATGAATGAACGATGAGAACGGGGTGAATGAACGTTGAACACGGGTAAATGAACGTAAACAGTGCCAGTGGGAACGCGAGAGATGTGTATATGTGTGTGTGTACTATGTATTTCTAATTGAATTTGCATAGGAAGTTTTAGTGTAGGGTGTATGAAGGTGATGATAAAGGGTGGTAGGGTGTAGCCGACCTGAGGCTTGGGGTCAGGCCCTCCACCCCACACATGCTTCACCAATATTAACTTGCTCTTCACTTAAAATACGAATTTTCTCACAAATAAATTAATATTATTATAAATTAACATAGTGAATTAACATTAATATTATTATAACATTAACATAACAAATTAATATTATTATAAATTAATATATTTTGGCATGGGATAGGTTAGGTGTTTTAAGTTCTTCAGGCAATTATTTCTATTTGTACTACGTGGCTGAGGCTTTTAGAGAATTGCGATTCGAACCGAGGTCGTCAGGGAAGCACTGTTCCAAAAGTGTTTGAACGCCAACAGTTGTGAGTCGTGTGTAAACCGTTTTACATTTTTAAACAGCGGGGTTTGTTGGCTGCGTTACTTTTGGTCTTTGTTGACGAGGACGGCCTCCAGTGTGTAGGGACGGGATGGGGGAGGGGGGAGGAGGATAGGGGGTCGAGAGATTCTCAATAATCGAGTAATTTTGAAGCCAGAGAGAGAGAGTGGTGGAAATGGCAAATTATAATCTGTTTGAGACCCAACCAACCGTGAAGCCGTGATGTACGCTCGCTCGCTACACACACACACACACACACCACACACAACACACACACACATACACATACACACACACACACACACACACACACACACACACACACACACACACACACACACACACACACACATACATACACACACACACACACACACACACACACACACACACACACACACACACATACACACACACACACACACACACACACACACACACACACACACACACACCACACACACACAACCCGAGTAAATGCAAAGTAATGAAACTAGGTGGTGGAAACAGGAGGCCAAACACAGGATACAGAATAGGAGATGAAGTACTTAATGAAACGGACAGAGAGAAAGGTCTAGGAGTTGATATCACACCAAAACTGTCTCCTGAAGCCCACATAAAAAGAATAACGTCTGCGGCATATGCGAGGCTGGCTAACATCAGAACAGCGTTCAGGAACCTGTGTAAGGAATCATTCAGAATCTTGTACACCACATATGTAAGACCAATCCTGGAGTATGCGGCCCTAGCATGGAGCCCGTACCTTGTCAAGCACAAGACGAAGCTGGAAAAAGTCCAAAGGTATGCCACTAGACTAGTCCCAGAACTAAGAGGCATGAGTTACGAGGAAAGGCTGCGGGAAATGCACCTTACGACACTGGAAGACAGAAGAGTAAGGGGAGACATGATCACAACCTACAAAATCCTCAGAGGAATCGACCGGGTAAACAAGGATAAACTATTCAACACTGGTGGGACGCGAACAAGGGACACAGGTGGAAACTGAGTACCCACATGAGGCACAGAGACGTTAGAAGGAACTTTTTCAGTGTCAGAGTAGTTAACGGATGGAATGCATTAGGCAGTGATGTGGTGGAGGCTGACTCCATGCACAGTTTTAAATGTAGATATGATAGAGCCCAGTAGGCTCAGGAATCTGTACACCAGTTGATTGACAGTTGAGAGGCGGGACCAAAGAGCCAAAGCTCAACCCCCGCAAGCACAAATAGGTGAGTACAAATAGGTGAGTACACACACACACACACATACACACACACATACACACACACACACACACACACACACACACACACACACACACACACACACACACACACACACACACACACACACACACACATAGAGTCCTACACACATAGAGTCCTACATGTCGATGTTTGCGGATGATGCAAAGTTGATGAGAAGAGTTGTGACAGATGAGGATTGCAGGATCCTCCAAGAGGACCTGAACAGATTGCAGAGATGGTCAGAGAAATGGCTACTAGAATTCAACACGAGCAAATGTAAAGTTATGGAAATGGGACTAGGAGATAGGAGACCAAAGGGACAGTACACAATGAAGGGGAACAGCCTACCTGTAACGACGCGTGAAAGAGACCTGGGGGTGGACGTAACACCTAATCTATCTCCTGAGGCACATATTAATAGGATAACGACAGCAGCGTACTCTACACTGGCAAAAGTTAGAACATCATTCAGAAACCTAAGTAAGGAGGCATTTAGGGCGCTTTACACTGCCTACGTAAGGCCAGTCTTAGAGTATGCCGCCTCATCATGGAGTCCCCATCTGAAGAAGCATATAATGAAACTGGAAAAGGTTCAGAGGTTTGCAACGAGACTCGTCCCAGAGCTACGAGGGATGGGGTATGAAGAGCGCCTGAGGGAACTGTGCCTTACGACACTAGAAAGAAGAAGGGAGAGGGGGGACATGATAGGAACGTATAAGATACTCAGAGGAATTGACAGAGTGGACATAGACGAAATGTTCACACGGAATAGTAACAGAACGAGAGGACATGGATGGAAGCTTGAAACTCAGATGAGTCACAGAGATGTAAGGAAGTTTTCTTTTAGCGTGAGAGTAGTGGGGAAATGGAATGCACTTCAGGAACAGGTTGTGGAAGCAAATACTATTCATAATTTTAAAACCAGGTATGATAGGGAAATGGACAGGAGTCATTGCTGTAAACAACCGATGCTCGAAAGGCGGGATCCAAGAGTCAATGCTCGATCCTGCAAGCACATATAGGTGAGTATAGGTGAGTACACACACACACACACACACACACACGTGTCTCAACCTTCAGGTATGGAACACGTGTCCAGGATGCAGCCGATGTCCCCACTCTGAATGTCAACACTGAGGCACTGGAACAGGAAAATGGGTGTTGTGAGGCCCTTGGAGGGCGTAATGAGCTGACGCAACTCATTCAGTAACTTGAGAGTATTTGCTCCGGGAGCTGAGTGAGGGCCTCCAAGCTCAATGACACCAGCTATAACTATGTGAAAAGTTCCTGTTTTGATGGTCGTCTGAGTCTGCCTGTAAACAGCAGCGACCACGGCATGGTACGCATGGTAGTGCGTACCAGGTCGCCTCTTGTCCGTGCTGGCTCCGGTGTTCTGTTTTTTCGGCTAAGTGGTGGTGTTTGCCCGTGGTGGCGTTTCCTGTACACTGCGGTATAGCGCGAGCTTACTTTAGCATATTTAGGTATTAATGCAAGCACATCTGCATTTGTGCAGCTACCTTACATTATACGAAAAGGCAGCTTGAGAGGCCAGGGGGGCTCCCGGGGGCTTGAGAGGCCAGGGGCCCCCGGGGGGCTTGAGAGGCCAGGGGCTCCCGGGGGGCTTGAGAGGCCAGGGGCCCCCCGGGGGGCTTGAGAGGCAAGGGCCCCGGGGGGCTTGAGAGGCCAGGGCGCCCTCGGGGGGCTTGAGAGGCCAGGGCGCTCTCGGGGGGGCTAGAGAGGCCAGGGGCCCCCGGGGGGGGCTAGAGAGGCCAGAGGCCCCCGGGGGGGGACTAGAGAGGCCAGGGGCCCCCGGGGGGCTAGAGAGGCCAGGGGCCGGGAAGGTGAGTGATCATGACTGCTGTACTGGCTACCAACCTCTGTACTGTGCCCTCCGAAGTAGCGTCTGGCTCACATCATTCCTCGCAGTTCCAGTTCCCTTGGTACATTTTCCATGAACTGGTCGGTAAAACGATGATCTCGCTTCTCGCTGGGTCAGCGTTCGATACCCTCTCACCCCTCTCGATGGTTCAAGAGGTTGGGCACCGATCCTCAGTTCCGTCCACAAGTCCCTTCTAAGCCCTATACAATCATACTGGTTTAGCGCTCTCTCGTGATAATGATCTGGTTCCTTTGTGCTGGGCAGCCAAGCTTAGTGGCGTTGGCTTGCGCTGACCCTTCTGGGGCCAGATTCACGAAGCAGTTACGCAAGTACTTACGAACGTGTATATCTTTCCTCAATCTTTGACGGCTTTGGTTACATTTATTAAACAGTTTACAAGCATGAAAACCTGCCAATCAACGGTTGTTATTGTTATAAACAGCCTCCTGGTACTCCGGAGCTCATTAACTGTTTAATAATTGTAAACAAAGTCGCCAAAGATTGAGAAAAATGGACAGGTTGGTAAGTGGTGGGAGACACTGTGTGGTGCCTCCACCTGTCCTCCACCACTGTCCTCCACCACTGTCCTCCACCACTGTCCTCCACCACTGTCCTCCACCACTGTCCTCCACCACTGTCCTCCACCACTGTCCTCCACCACTGTCCTCCACCACTGCCCTCCACCACTGTCCTCCACCACTGTCCTCCACCACTGTCCTCCACCACTGTCCTCCACCACTGTCCTCCACCACTGTCCTCCGTCCAGTGCCACACAGAGCCATGTGTACACACACAAATTATTGTATTGGATGAAGACTAAAATAAGGGATCCCGGTATTACAGTGGGACTCGTTCTCGACCTACAGTCCAGAATTCTCAGCTCGAATCCCGGGCGGGACAGAAATGATTGGGGCCCATCTCCTTTCACCTAATGCATATGTTCACCTAGCAGTAAGTAAATACTCAGGAGTTAGTCAGCTCCTGGGTTGCATCCTAGTCGGGGTTAGTAATTTGACTCTACGAGGGGGGGGGGGCTAGATAAAATCCTAACGTGTATGAATACACTCTGGCTTCCTGTCCCCGACACAGTGAATTAATTATTAATTATAAGGCGCGTCTACTGTAGATAAAATGGTGAGCTATGGCAAATAATAATTTCATTATTTGAGATATTTCTTAAATTTTTATTACATTTCTATGAGTTGTGTTCAGCATCAAAATGTCACTATTATACGTGCTGTATATTAAATCACTAATAATGCAACCCGTCCTCTTAAAAATAACGTCACTTTTGGCTCGTATGCTCACTAGGGCTAAATTTGGACGTAATTTGAAATGAAATCGACTCACAAAAGTGACGTACTGTTCCGTTTTCTGTTTGAGTCGTCCGGCTTACTCGGTAAGGTTAGAAGAGGAAACTTTCTATTAACATTTTTCTTACTGTTTTGAAACTTTAGGAGAATTTCCTGCCCACCTAACCTATCAGAGGACCCTTAACTTAATGTTGTTGAAAAAAATCCCAAATTTATTTTCATTTTTTTTTTTCATTTTCAAATTACGTCCACTTTCGGCCATACGGGTAAACGGCCAAAAGCGACGGCATTAATATTTTAATGCCGTCGCTATATTTTTAAGAGGATAATATTTTATTTTATTTTTATTAATACTTTTAAGCTAATATTTTTAAGAGGACAGGTTGTAGGGTATAATATATCAAGTGAAGTGGCAACCTCGCACGCTAACCTGTGTTTCTTCTTACGTCCGCCAGGTGTCAGCACGGCGCCCCCACCGCTGCCAGACGCCGCCATTATCAGGTAACATCTATTGACAACTTTCCTCTCATGCGTAAAAGACTCAATGACCCTCATAAGCCACGTAGCTGCTGTTGATGATGGGAAATTATCAAATATGGAAAGATTGACGGTGTTGTGTGTTCGTTGGGACGGAAGTTGTCTCTCGTCACTACACACACACACACACACACACACACACACCATCATCCTCTACCCCGTATATAAGTGTTGGAGTATCTCAGTATATAAATGTGTACCTCATGTGTGGCCCTGAAGTGCGGGGTATTTATTGGTTAAGTCACGTGGGAGTGTGTGGAGCTGGGAGCACCTCGCGTGACTGCACAGTGGCGTCCTAAGCAGATTCTGGAAGGTGTGTTGGAGGGTCTCCCAGCAACCCGTCCTCTTAAAAAGAACGTCACTTTTGGCTCGTATGCGCGATATGGCTAAATTTGGACGTAATTTGAAATGAAATCGACTCACAAAAGTGACGTTCTGTTCCGTTTTCTATTTGAGTCGTCCGCCTTACGCGCAGAGGTTATAAGAGGACACTTTAAATTCACGTTTTTCATAACGTTTTGAAACTTTATGAGAATTTCCTGCCCACCTAACCTATCAGAGGACCCTTAACTTACTGTTGTTGAAAAAAGAAATCCCAAATTTATTTTAATTTTTTTTTCATTTTCCAATTACGTCCAAATTCGGCCATACGGGCAAACGGCCAAAAGCGACGTTCTTTTTAAGAGGACAGGTTGCTCCCAGAGTGTATAGAAAATGGGAGCCTAATGCCTAACTTGTAAGAAAATGTTTATTTCCCTCACTTTGCTTTTTTAACCACGACTGTAATATTTTGAAATTTAACTATTTTCAATACGAATGCGGGCGAATGTGTCTTTTTCCTTCATATAAAGTCGGAAAAAACATATGAATCAAAAATACCCTGGATTTATAATAGTTATACAAAAGGGACGACAAGAGATTTAGAAGTGAGTACTGTTTCCAGATTTATTTTTTTTTCTTCGAGATATACAAGAGTTGTTACATTCTTGTACAGCCACTAGTACGCGTAGCGTTTCGGGCAGGTCCCTGGAATACGATCCCCGCCGCGAAGAATCGTTACAACCAAGTACTCATTATACTGTTGCGTTAAACAGAGGCTACAGTTAAGGAATTGCGCCCAGTAAATCCTCCCCGGCCAGGATACGAACCCATGACATAGCGCTCGCGGAACGCCAGGCGAGTGTCTTACCACTACACCACGGAGATTTACGATTATAATGTCAATTACAGTGATGAATCCGCTCGTATTTGTAGTGTTTCATCATGGTGATGTTACACTGTCCCTGCTGGTGACCTTCACACCACATTATCTTAGTGGTCGTCTTCCTCCTCCCTGTGTGCGCCAATGTTCTTAAATAGATCAAGATGAGCATCAAGGATATGGACTTTGAGGGGGACATCTTGCAGCCCCTTGTGCTGTAGTTCTTCATCAGAGTGTTGACCAACTCTATACAGTTTACGGTCTTGTGAGTGCCCAAGATGTTCCAAATCTAGTGAACTTCTTGGGGAATTCCTAGCACTCTAGGATCTTCTTTACCTCTGGTCCGACGAAGACATTGGGTTTTAATTAAGAAATTTAATTTAAGAAACTAGTGAAATCCTAAAAAAGCAGTATGAGGACATGTTTAGCACTCCAATAAACAACATGAAGGTGGAAGATCCAGACAATTTCTTTATGCGGATATTCAAACCCCTGTAAATATAACTGATATAAACACGAGCGCACTAAATTTTGAAAAAGAAATTGAAAACATGCCCATGCACTCGGCCCCAGGTCCAGACTCATGGAATTCAATATTTATAAAGAAATGCAAAGTGCCGGTAGCACAGGCACTCAGTATAGTGTGGAGGAAGAGCTTGGACACGGGGGAGATACCAGATGCACTTAAAGTAGCAGACATAGCCCCTCTACACAAGGGAGGGAGCAAAGCATTGGCAACAAATTATAGACCAGTTGCACTAACATCGCACATCATAAAAGTATTTGAGAGAGTGATTAGGAGTCAGGTCACCAATTTCATGGAGACCAATGACCTTCACAACCCAGGCCAACATGGATTTCGAGCGGGAAGATCGTGCCTCTCACAGCTACTTGAGCACTACGACAAAGTCACTGAGGCATTAGAAGAGAAACAGAATGCTGATGTGATATACACGGACTTCGCAAAGGCTTTCGATAAATGTGACCATGGCGTGATAGCACACAAAATGAAGTCAATGGGAATAACCGGTAAAGTAGGACGCTGGATACTCAGTTTTCTGTCAAACAGGACTCAGCGAGTAACTGTCAACCATATAAAATCTAGTCCAAGTGCAGTGAAAAGCTCTGTACCTCAGGGTACAGTCCTTGCACCGCTGCTTTTCCTTATTCTCATATCAGATATAGACAAAAATACAAGTCACAGCTTCGTATCATCCTTTGCAGATGACACAAAAATCAGTATGAAAATTACCTCGGCTGAGGACATTGAAAAACTTCAAGCTGATATTAATAAAGTTTTCGACTGGACATCAGAAAATAACATGATGTTTAACAGTGAAAATTCCAGGTACTGAGGTACGGTAAAAATGAGGACCTTAAACATAATACAGAGTACAAAACACAATCAAATGTACCCATAGTAGGAAAACAGCATGTAAAGGATTTGGGAATAATAATGTCTGATGACCTAACGTTTAAGGAGCATAACCAAGCAAATATTGCGACAGCCAGAAAAATGATAGGATGGATTACGAGAACTTTCAAATCCAGGGATCCCATCACAATGGTTGTACTCTTCAAGTCACTTGTGTTGTCCCGTCTTGAGTACTGTTCAGTACTCACTTCCCCCTTCAGAGCAGGAGAGATTGCTGAAGTAGAGGGAATACAGAGAACATATACGGCACGCATAGATGCAATAAAGCACCTAAATTATTGGGATCGTCTCAAAGCCCTCCAAATGTACTCACTAGAAAGAAGACGAGAGAGATATCAAATAATATACACCTGGAAGATACTGGAGGGCCAAGTACCAAATCTACACAGTAAAATAACAACGTACTGGAGTGAACGATATGGAAGAAAATGTAGAATAGAACCAGTGAAGAGCAGAGGTGCCATAGGCACAATCAGAGAACACTGTATAAACATCAGAGGTCCGCGT